CCAGATTTCTGACTCCGTGGGAAATTAAGTTTTGTAAATTTGCAGACACCTACTCAGTGCTTTTCTGCATTGTGTATCTTCCTCCCTGTTTGTAGAAGTGTATTTGCCGTAAAAACAATTGTAGAATAAGAAAATAAAGAGACTAGCAAGAGGAGGATGAGGAGGAGGGAATCTCAAGATCGCCTTTTTTTTTCTGGTGCGTTCCATCTAAAGTCTATGATGCAAATGGCATGAAAACAAATGTGTCACCGACGGCGACACGAGGAAAACAATTTCGATAGTTGTCATTTTATGCGCCTGTCTTTGACTCCTACGCAAATTCCCTTGCGTCAGCTCGACGAATTTTTCTCCATTTTCGACTTTTTCTTCTCTGCACACATTTATAAATATGCTTCATCGTGATTTATTAAAAAAAAAATAGCCTAGCATATCCTACTTGCATATTTCATCGAATAAGTGGATTACATTCTACACACACGCCTATATATATATATATATATATATATATATATATATATATATATATATATATATATATATATATATATATATATATAATAAAAGACACAATTTATAGAGAGAATTAAATAGTTATGTCCATGTGATTAATGGCAGAAATCACTTCGCTAACAGAACTTAATGAGACATTAACTTATTATTGAATAATAAGATCCTTATATTCGAGTTATTGTCAGATGGAATATATATATATATATATATATATATATATATATATATATATATATACATATATATATTAATTAAAGGACTTTCTAGACATTTTCATCTTAGTGAATTATTTTCCCTTTTAATTAGAGTAGCATTTTTTTTGTGTCAAAATTGGGCTCAGTTTCGCTACAGTGAAAAACCAATGCATTTTGTGTGTTGTTTTTTTAAAATGTCTCTTTTATTTTTGTACAGACTTTTGTTTAAACTTATACACACATATATATATATATATATATATATATATATATATATATATATATATATATATATTTAAATAAAAGTTTAAACAAAAGTCTGTTGTTTAAAAACTTTATATATATAATATATATATATATATATATATATATATATATATATATATATATATATATATAAGTATAAACAAAAGTCTGTACGAACACAAAAGAGACATTTTAAAAAGCAACACACAAAACGCATTGGTTGTTCACCTGAACGAAACTGAGCACAATTTTGACATAAAAAAAAATGTTACTCTAATTAAAAGAGAAAATAATTCCCTAAGATGGAAATATCTACAAAGTGATTTTATTACTAGTTCAGCCACAGTACATTTACGTCCAGATTCGTACAACGTTTTACCATTCTTACAATATGGGATATATTTAAAAACAAAGATGATAGAGATTGAAAAAAATGTATTTCAAAAAAATTGTGGATCTTCGTGAAGCCACTCATTCTTCTAACCTTGTGGACTGACGCTACAGAATCACAAATAAAAAAAAACTCTACCAGATAACAGAAACTACGTCACTTAACGACTTTCAACAGCAGCAGCAGCTGAAATGACAGTACATCAAACTCGAAGAGAAAATAATAATATAATCAAGATCTTGAGATTCCACACTAATTCAAAGCAAATGTTAGGAAGGAAACCCCCATTAATACTGAGAAAAAAAAAGTGACTGAACCCGAAAAAAAACTATTTTCCTGAAAAATTGTTTTAAGAGAAAGATTTTATAAATTTCATCTGACTGCTCGGTCAATGAATACCGTGTGATTCTTTATAATGAAATAGCTAATATAATCATTGTCATTACCATTCATGCAAAAATAAAAAACATCCACCAAGCGTATGTAATTATGAATTATTCTGTAGTTCCTCGAGGAACGACGCCAAAGTGGATGTGCCGTTCCACAGAACGATTTTTCGGCACACGAAAGCCGACTTGGACAGCTTCAGATCTTACATAGCGGAAGTTCCTCTCTAAGAGTTCTTCAAAACTTCCGTCCACATTTCAGAATGGAGAGATTTATACTCTAGAAAAAATCCAGCAAAAATCGAACAGCCAGCCCTGGTTCATTCCTAAATGCGCTGCAGCCATAGGTCATCGTAACCACTACTATAATATCTATCCTTTGCAAGGTACGGTGTAGTAGGCGATGCTGTATTCAGAACTGCTCACAATCATTGCAAGAAAGTTCTAGAAAATGCAAAGAGTAGCTACGCACAAGCAGTCAGGCCAATGTCGAAAACAAACAACTTGGATACCGGGAAGATCTACAAAAAAAAAATAGAGGCAAAAAAATGACTCATCATTGTCATATAAGGTAAAGCTCTTCGCCAAGATCTTTGCCTCTAACTCCACGTTAGATGACAAAGGTCATTTCCTCCTCGACATACCCCGGCTCATAGAGCAGAATCTCAATAATATTTTTATTACAGTCCGGGAAGTCTGAAAGACTTATTAAAAGTTTTGACTAAGAAGACTACCGGTCCGGATAAAATCCCATTGGTTGTCCTTAAGAATATTAAGCCTGAGTTATTCCTGAATTTAGCAAGACTATTTAACCGCTGCTTGAAGGACAAATCCCCCGCAAATCTCTGGAAGGTATCAAATGTATGTTCTGTTTATAAGAATGCGGGTGAGCGCTCATTCCCGTCAGGTCTACTTGTCCGAGACGCGCTAACACATGAATGAATACGTATCCAGCTTTCAACTAAGATATGTGTAAAGAGAAATAGTCGGGTGCTCAGTTTCACAGCAACCCTACGAATACTCTCGGTCATAGCGATGATGAGGAGGAGGATTTCAAACGCTATACAATGGAAGTTTCAGATCAAAATACTGTTAAATACCTGTCAGTCTGCAGATTTATTGATGCACACTTGTATCTATCTAAATGCACATAAGTATACATATATATTCACACACACACAGTAACGAGTACATGTGCTTGATTACTCTAATGATTGCTTTTTCCCACGAGAAGTAATAAATCTCCAAAATTATGAATGTTTAATTTTATGGCAACATACGTCTTCCATTTGAATGATTCGCCAAGTATCCTCTCGGCTTGCCAGGCTAAACTTTTTCGGTGACTACACAAACTCCAACATCTAAAGGTTTTGAATTGTATATTTTAAAACGTTTCTCTTCATTTTTTTTAGGCTTCATGTTCTTTAAAGATGTGGGTGATCACGGCTCCCCACGACTTCTTTTTTGACTTTTTAACATCCCTTTGTATCTTTGTTTTGCTATCCATTCACACAAATTCGCTAAGTACTTTACCTAAGTGCTCTTCGTTTTATTCTTTCAATCCTTTTTCACTCTTGTTACTTTTCTTTATTTCCTTTTCTTTTTCCCCCCTTTTCTTTTCCTTCTCTCTCTTGCCTTTTCTTTGTCTATTTCGCTTTTTCTCTTCCCTTTCTTTCTTTCTTTCTTTTGCCTCGGTCTGTAAAGAGTTGAACGAAAACCTTGAGGGAGAAATGAGCCATAACCGTAGCGCGTTTATAGAGGCGGATGTGACACGCTTGGTCGTGTCTCGTTTCGATTCCTGATCACCTAAGGGTATTTGCCTAAGTGAATGCAACGAACCCGAATGAAATTCGAACACGGCACTCCGATTAACAATCCCGAGCCGTTATCCATTACACCACACGTACAGCCACGCTTACAGCACCTGGTTTTCCCAAGCGGTCACTCATCTAGGTAATGACCAGGCTCGACGTTGCTTAACTTCGGTGATCGGATGAGAACCGGTGTTTCAACGTGATAGCTAGTGGATGAAAAGTTAAGAAAAGATTTGTTTTTAATATTTTATTTTGATATATAAAAAAATTGCCGCTTCTCTTTCAATTGCATATTTTCTTTTCTCTCTTTGTCTCTTTCTTTTTCCTTGCCTCGTTCTCTCTCTTTGTCACATTTAAAAAGCCCCTAACTTTTCGTTATTTTCCTCGTTTTCTTCTTCCCCATTTTATTAGGTTGGTGCAAAAATAATGACGTAATAATGTCGTTTTTTTAACGTATTTTTAACGTCAAAAAACGACATTATTACGTCATTATTTTTGCACCAACCTAATATTTCATTCAAGTTAGTTTATTCGTTTCTATCTCGTTATTTTCTTCCTAACTTTCTTTTTTTTTCTCCTTTTTTTTTTCCTTTTCCTTCTCTTTTCTTCCTTTTTTTTTTCATTTCAAGTTATTCATTTTTTTTTCTTTTTCTCGACTTTACTTTCTTTCCTATTCTTTCATTCTTCCTCTTTTGTTTCCCGCTTTTCTTCTATATACTTTCTTTTCTCTCTTTTTCTTTTCTTTCTTTCTTTTCCTCTGTCACTTCCTCTATCTCTTTTTTTCCTCTTTAAATATTTTAAACAAATCCCCATACACCTCATTCATGCCGAAATATTAATTAAATGAAATATGAATTAATTGCAAACATATTTTTCATGATATAGATAAATGCATATACATATAAGTTTATATTTCTTTACATACATAATTAATACAGTGTTCGTGTTATACATACGTATACATCTGCTTATATACGTGTGTGTGTGTGTCTGTGTTTGCGTGTGTGTCTGCTATAAATACAGACGTATATACTTGTACTATTTAACAGGCGTCTTGTACTGCTTAGCAGTTTACTCGGCAGTATAATCAGGGGAGATTGTAAGAATGGCTACAAATAAGTCCGAGATAATTTAGCGTTCGCTTTATTTTTTTGTTTTATTTTTTTTACTTAATTTTTTTTACGTTTCTGCGCGTGTAAACACCACTTCCTCTTTATGCTTACGCATGCGCACTAATTCTCGTATTAGCTGAGTCTGTCGTCATTTTGGAAATAGTCAAGCATGTCCTCTCTACTATACTTGCGTGTTTTATCAGGAAATAACTCTTAGCTAAACACCACCAAATTAAAAGAATTTATAATGGCGATTAGTAATTATCTGACGCCTTTCAATTTTGTTGGTAAATGCATTTAAATATATACGATGAAAAACATATATAGGCTATTAAAATATACACGACTTAAAAACATAGATAAAAAGAGAGATAGATAGATAGATAGATAGATAGATAGATAGATAGATATGAACAAAATGTAATCGATAGAAGGAAGGGAGGAGAAAGAAAGAAAGAAAGAAAGAAAGAAAGAAAGAAGAGACTGAGATTAAATAAACAGCAATTAAAGAGGGGTGAAGAAAGAGAGCAACACCAACATTCCTCAGTGCAGCGACAACATTTCAATTTGTTACGTTTATTCTCTAAGCGGAGCTTAGTTGTGGCACAAGGCCGAAAGTATGAGCCACCCAGTGAGGATCAAACTCAATCGTAAGTGTTCTCGCGAAACAAGCTTGCTAATATTCCAGCCACGTCAATCTGTTATTTCAATAATATATAATGATTTTCCAAGCGTAACTTAGATGTGGCACAAGGCCGAAATTATGAGGCACCCAGTGAGGATCGAACTCACTACTCAGTCGCAATTGTTCTAGCGAGATAAGCTTGCTAACCATTACACCGCCTCGAATTGCCCAGCGATTTTCCAAGCATAAATTAGATGTGGCACAAGGATGAAAGTATGGGGCACCCAGTGAGGATCGAACTCACTAATCATTTATAATTGTTCTAGCGAGACAAGCTTGCTATCCATTACACCGCGTCGACGTTCTCAACTTAGCATCTATGGTTATTTTCTAAGCTTAGCTTAAATGTGGCACAAGGCCGAAAGTATGAGCCACCCAGTGAGGATCAAACTCACTACTCTATCGTAATTGTTATAGCGAAACAAACTTGCTAACATTGCAGCCACGTCAATCTGTTATGGAAATAATATATATGCCACGACTCTCACAACGATTATGTAAGGGCGCCTAACAATTCAAGACTTCGAACTGAACCGCGAGACTATATATACGTATGCTTTGATTATAGTGCTGAGACCATGTGCAGAAACCCACATTTTTTTGGGGGGGTGGGGAACAGATAACAGGGAAATTGCACAAAGTGTGCCTCGAAATCTTCGAACAGCTCTCCTCGTGTGCTGTATTCAGGGTTACCCCTCTCCTAGACTAGTTACAAACCAAACCTAAAGATCACATGCTATTTTTTTAAAGCGTTTCACCCCAAGCAAGGCAGGAAGCCACTAGCACGCAAGGGGTTACAGCGAGTTGGAGCGAGAGCAAAGAGGAGTGACAGAGGAAAGTGTGAAGAGAAGGATAGGGGATAGATCAATATATCTGAAGACGTCGATTGTCATTACATTTGAATATTTGGAGATTATATCTATCAGGAAAAGAAGAAAAGGGACAAGCGAGAGCTGCGAGACATGAATCTATTGGAGTAGAAGAGACGGCTATATTTAACAATTTCGACAGTGAAAGGACGAGAGCGAGATGCCAGCCTAACTGAACGCTTAAATTCATGAAGTCTGTGAACCAGCGAAAGCAGCTCATCGTAGCAGTTATTGAAAGTATTTCTTAAAAAGACAGATGGAGGCGACGGCACCTCCGTGAGAGAGCGACTGCAGACGAGATGCCAGATCAGGGCCAATTCCATTGCATATCCGTCTCTGGATTTTATCAATGACCTTGAGACAAACAGAAGGGGGTTCCAGATCATATATGGCAGCAATGTTCCATGCAAGGGCGAATGGTTGATTTGTAGATTTGAAGGATCGACGCCGGCGAGAAAAATTTCCTGGCGGTGCACAGGGAGCCATATTTCCTTGCGGAGGACGAAGCTTTTGACTCAATGTATTTGTTCCATCTCAGGTTGATGGCGGCATAACTTTTTTTCAAGTGTTTAGATTATTTACTAATGTCCTCGTTTCTAGGTATATCTTGTTTTAGTACTGATCAGCTACTGCTAGCCAGTTTTAAATCCAAGTACACACTGCTCTAGCCAGGGATTAAGCTAAGATTTGAGATGGTAAATAATCTCCATTCCCTTTGTGTACTGGCTAAACAAACAAGTCATATATATATATATATATATATATATATATATATATATATATGAGTGTTTGTGTGTGCGTGTGTGTACGCGTACGTGTGTGTTTGTATATATATATATATATATATATATATATATATATAGTAAAGGTAATAAATCTGTTGGTATATAATCTAAGTGGATCCTAATAATACAAAATATGGGGAATAAGCCTATTTGAAAAAAAAAAAAATTCGCCAGTCTTACTCAACCACGGTATAATATTTTTTTTGTCGGCTGAAATAAGCTTATTCCACATATGAGGTGATTTGGGATTTCATTGTGTATTAATTATATATATATACTAGCAGCATAGCCTGGCGTTGCCCGTGCTTGATTCAAAAATCGTACGACTCATACAGAATTCGCTATCACTTGACTTAAAATATTTTTGCCCTTCCTTGCCGTTAAAGGAGTGCCCTTTGCCGTGCTGATGTTGCTATATGCCTTACTTCTTTTCTAAGCTCTATTAAATCTGTTACGAAAAAAGAACTAAACAAAATGAACACAAAACGATCAGCTTTAAAAATGGATTCGTAACTGGAAAAACCGAATGAAAAAAGAATGTTAACTGCAAATACTTTTTCACACCCAACCCAGTTCTGCGGAATCAGAATCAACGTTGAAGCGAATGAGCCAATTGGAGTAAAGTGCCATGCAGATTTAAATTTTTCCCACTTGTGACGAATGCAGCTATCGATTTTTTTACATGCTAGCATGCTAGTTAACATTCGTGTCAGTCAGCTGTTGGCTCTCATGCTAGCCAATAGAATCTTCCTGCCTATTCGTGGCAGCCAGCTATCGGCTCTCACTCTGACCAGTAGAAAATGGCTGCAAACTACATGAAAACTGCCGTAGAAGAATGAAAAATCGATTATTTCCACTGTCGATGGGAGTTGGGAAATGCAAAGTCAGTCTTAGCCTTCCCGCTAACATGGAGCATGTGCATGTAAATTTTGGTGCAAATCCGTCGAAAAATTGCGGCCGTGCATTCACACACACACACACACACACACACACACACACACACACACACACACACACACACACACACACACACATCCTGCCTTTTTTATATATATATATATATATATATATATATATATATATATATATATATATATTGTATTGAGCATTTTTTTTAATTATTTTAGCTGTTGGTAGGGAGAGCTTTACCTTTGATTGTGGTAGATGCTGTTTTCAGTTTTCTAATTATTTTATTAGATGCTTTTGTCAGTACCCTAATTATTTTTTATTCAATGTTTTGGGGGTTTTTTTAAGCATTTTTACCCAAGCAAGTCAGAAGGGCCATTATCACACAGGGGGTTATGGAGAGTGGAAATGAGAGAAAAGAGTGGGTGTAGGGGGGGGGATTGAAGAAAGGAAAAAAAGTACAGGTATCAACGCAACAAAACATGGTGACTGATGTTGCATTTAGGTTTTTGATGATTGTAGTTATCAGGGAAGCAAGTGAGAGGAATGGAGTTCCAATATGGAGATAATTTATATATAAACTTACATAGTTACAAACCTAATATATATTTTTCGGTGTTTGATGCAAAATAAATGTCTATTTTTAAGACTATATAAACTTATTTTTATGATGACATTTAAGTATAATTTCATTTCTCTGGTTCAATAACTGGCTTGTATTTTTGTACTTAATTATTTTAATTTTTTCTTAAAGGGATAGTTTGCATCTGTTTATATATATATATATATATATATATATATATATATATATAGTTGGATAGATGTGAGTTTGTGACCCTGGTCTGACGATCGGTAAAAGCGTGAAACCCAGGGTCACAAACTCACATCTATCCAACAAATATGTTAGCTCTATTTCTGATATTGAGCGCTTTCTAATAAGTACCGCGCATATAATATATAAATAATTATACATATATATATTTATTTATATTTATATACACTTTTTTATATATATATATATATATATATATATATATATATATATATATATATATATATATATATATATATAAATTAAGATCAAATATAGATAGGAATGCAAGAGAATGATAGGATAAGGGAAAATAGGAAATCTTTTTAAATCTGACATGCTTTGCTGTTATTAACACTTGAGATGTGAAGGTCTATTTTCCACGAGGGCCGGCCAGGTGAAGGTGAGAGGGGGGAGCACGTCGCTCTTGTATTTACTCGTTCCCCCACTAGAACGACATGTGACACAAGGTCGGTTTAATGTGGGGACCCGAGCGCATACACACGGCCAGGGACAAAAATTCCCCTCAGCCCCCGTAACCGTCGGTTGCGCTGGCCTCGGTGCGAGCACCGATCCCTCCCTCTGGTACAATGGGAGGGCGCGGCCTCGGGCAGCTGTTCCCAAGGAGTGGGCACCTCTTCAGTATTATTTTCTCAGTTGCCCCTCCGTCCTTAGACAGAGAAGCCCCTGAGCGCTCTCTGTCCAAGGACAGAGACGCAACTGAGAGATGATAAATAAAGCGCGTACACACTCCTCCTCCTCCTTTCAAATTGATTTCGTGCAAAAACAATTGTGTTTTTCGATTTTTTTGGCGCTGTCAGAACCACCGCCGGGTAATTTTACGTAGTCCTGTGAAGTTTTGTTGAAATCGGTTGAAAAGTGTAGGAAATACGATCCCATATATAAACGAACAGACACACACACGCAATCTGCGTTTTATAATAAGTAAGATATATATATATATATATATATATATATATATATATATATATATATATATATATATATATTATAAAGAAGCAGGGTTTTCTTCTTTTGTATGTGTCGACTTATAACTCAGAAAAGAGATGCCATTGTGCGTTAAAATCGCGCTTACACTTTACTATGATTATACTAATGAAAAGTACAAAATGATATAATTCAATAATTAAGAATCAATGGATTTGTGGAACTCTTCACAATTATTTTCCAGTGAGTACATGTTCTTCTGAAGAACCGCCATATTTAAACGTCACATTGGCAAAACATTTTGAAGTTAACTTTACTTCTTCTCAAGTAAGCAAGTGGAATTATTCTTAAGACTCAACATATTTAAATATCACACAGATTCCATTGCAAAACTCTTCGAAGGTAAGTACGAAACTTGAAATAAATCCTCTTTCGAAAATTGTTTTGTAATTTAGTACTGATTGTAAGAAAATCTTTCT